TATATATATATATATATATAGTTGAAGTCAGAATTATTCACCCCCCTTTGATTTTTTTTTCTTTTTTAAATATTTCTCAAATGATGTTGAACAGATTGAGGAAATCTTCACAGTGTGTCTGATAATATTTTTTCTTCAGGATAAAGTCTTATTTGTTTTATTTCATCTAGAATAAAAGCAGTTTTTAATTTTTTAAACACCATTTTAAGGTCAATATTATTAGCCCCTTTAAGCAATATTTTTTTTCTCTATAGTCTCCAGAACAAACCATCATTATACAATGACTTGCCTAATTACCCTAGTGAAGCCTTTAAATGTGACTTTAAGCTGTATAGAAGTGTCTTGAAGAATATCTAGTCTAATATTATTTACTGTCATCATGGCAAAGAGGAAATAAATCAGTTATTAGAGATGAGTTATTAACACTATTATGATTAGAAATGCTGGAGAAATCTGCTCTCTGTTAAACAGAAATTGGGGAAAAAAAATAAACGGGGCGAATAATTCTGAATTCAACTGTGTGTATATATATATACATATTTTTAATCTGTAGTTACTTTTCATTCACTGCATATCTAATGTTAGGCTCTTTTAAATGTTTATAAAGGCCTGTGCACACCGAGACGTTTTTTGCTTGCGTTTTCCGTCAACGTTTAACACCTCGTGACTATATAAAGTGCGTCAATGTGCGTCAGCGTCAACGTCATGCTTGTTTTTTTGTTTTGACGCACCGCGCTAAAACCTTCTCCGCCAATCAGCTTGGCACATTTGTTCACGTGCACAGAGCTGCAGAAGTTACCGTAAACAGTTGGAGGCGCTCAAGTGCAAAACTATCAATGCGAGCGCACATTGAAGAAGCTGCCCAGGGTCGATATGAACAGGGAGCTGCTTATTGCTCTGTGAACAATAATCATTTCTTCATTGCTAGAGCTGGAGCTGCTGCTTGAACCATCCATGCTTGTTCGAGTCACCAGTAACTTTAACAATAAGCGTAAAAACTTCCCCTCTTCCTCTTCTTCTGTGTTACAAGCGGGTGTCGGAAGCTTAAAGTTGTGTAGCGCCATCTATCGTCAAGCAGTGATTTTGCATACTCTTCTGCTTGACGCCGGTGAATATCGCTTGGGATTGAATGCGGAAAAACGTCTCGTAAAATGCTGACGATAAACACAAACGAAAAGCGTCCCGGTGTGTACGAGCCTTAATGCAGATGTTACGTTTTGTGGTGTTTTGTTGTTTCTTTTCTGTTTTGCGTTCTCCTCTCACTTCAGTGCGTACTCTGTCCTGTTCTAGGTGTGCAACCATTGGTTGAGAAAGCTGTCAATCACCATCATGACGCAATCGGTGCACCAATCAGGAGCTGGTCCGCCAAGTATAAAAGGCGTGCGCTTGCGCTGTTCAGCAGGAGCGCTTGGCCCACCGCCAAACTCCTCACTTGCGCCGACTGGCCTGTTCATTTGTGTATGTGTAGTTTTACTGCTGTTGTGTTTAGTTTCTCTCGATTAAGTGATCTATTTTTTAGGCAAGCTGGCGAAGTTATTGAGAAGTTGAACGATCTTTATGGGAATTGGATCATCAGAGCTCTTGTTTTGCTAATGGCTAACAGTGTTCATGAGAAATCTAGTCTTTTGAGCAGCATAGTATTTTTCTTGTAGTTTATGGAGGTGTTGCCACATTTGTATGTATGTGCTTGGAATAGTTATGAAGTTTAGTTAAGTGTCGCGCTTAAAATTACGGTCTTGTTTCTGGATTCCTCTTTGGTTAGTTAGTTTAGTGGGTTGAGGTTTAATTAGATCATTTTGTTATATTCATTTCTTTGTTTTGGCAACACTCCTGTATTTCGTTTGATTCGGTTATTTAAAATTACATTGTAATTTCCTTTATTCATTGTTTGACATGCTCTGTTTCATAAATACTTAATTCTTTTGTTTCACTTATCATCGGTTGTGTGTTCTCATTTACACCCAGCACCATTAGAGACTCACTGAATGTTACGCCTCATCCAATTTAATAACTTAAACACGTAAGAGCAGACTACAAATCTGCTGGTATATGGACTACAAGTTCCAGTCATGCAACACATACACACACCTGCTCCAAGTGTCCACAGATTACTCTCCCACAGCTGAAGCTGCTCATGGACTGATTACTGGACACAGCACACAAACACACAGAAGCAGCCGAGTCCTGTTGTGCTGTTTCTGAACGTTACATCACATTTTCCTTGCCCTCCGTGTTTGACCCTTGCTTTGTTTTGTTTGTTGTACCCTGTCTGCTGCTTGCCTTTTGGCCATGTTGTATGACCACAACTCTGGATTCACCTGTACACATCTGTTTGCCCCTGTGTTGACCGTGGCTTGCCTAACTGTTCTCCTAATGAACTCTGCATTTGGATCTGCACTCTGTTGTCAGCGTCCACTTCACATTTCAGAAGCCATGAAACATCTCAGCCATGAAGTGTGTGTGTGCGCGCTGTATAAATAGTCCTTGTAATCCATTTATAATCATCCTCTGGCTGTGTGTGTGTGTAATAAACCAAAAGTGGAACAGTTGTGTGTGTGTGTGCGAAGTGCATGTATGGAATTGTAGTCCAAAATGTGGCAGATTTGTAGTTCACCAGCAAACCGCGTGTTTTCCAGCAATCTGCAGCCGCTAGATCACTGGTGATCATAACAGCATACATGATTATTGCGTACGTGGGTTATTGAAAAAGTTGTTCGTTCATTTTTTCTTACATTTAGAATCAATTTTAGTACGAAAGTTTTGATGAATCATGATTTATTATTGAAAACGTCATAGTTCATGCATACATTTGTGCGCACGCATGGCTAGTGAATGAGACCTATTGTTTTGTATTAAAAAATATTCAAGATGAAGAGAGTTTTTCCTTAATACGAACTAAATAAGCAGTCAGTGCGGGAAATAAAATGTTATCTCAAACTGGAAACAAGATTTGTTCACTCCTCCATTGTCTGATAATTGTGCTTGTTTTAATAAGAAACTCTCTTCATTTTGTGAAAATGTAACCCTGCCGGCCTTCCGCATGGGAGTCGGTCGCTCTACCAAGGAGGCTAAAGACCATAGCCTCTAGTGTCTGTCGCTAGAGCACCTTTAGAGGTCAGAGGAGTGAGGTTTACCTGCACAGCACTCACTAGCTGGCCTCTGTTACACTCACTCCCCTAAACCTCACTCCCGTCCGGGTCACGGCACCAATGTAGCCCCGCCGGTTCAACACCACCCAACCCGCTCCAAGCTGGTATCGAACCGGCAACCTTCCACATGGGAGTCGGGTGCTCTACCAAGGAGACTAGATTTTGACTTGTCCAGAAAATGCTCCTTGACTTCAGAATTAGTAATGTTTGGATTACAAACAAGACCAAACTGTCCTCCAGACACGTGTAAAGAGTGTGTGATCATCATAAAGCTCCGGATATAAAGGTCTTCCGCCAGTAAGAAAGTAAAGGTGTTTTATGAAACCCATGTTCATTCAGCGGTGATTCTCTACACGCTGCCGAGTCCACATATTAAATAACAATAATATTAATCATCATCGTAATAATTGTCAAAAGTGCCATTCAGCATGATATGGGAGAAATATAATATTCAGAATTTACATTTTGTACAAAGTAAAGTCATTTTTGGTGAAGCTACCCCTGTGAATCATGCCGAGTCTGAATAATACTGTGATCTACACCTGAAGAAGAACCAGCAGAGACTAAACACTCACTGATGATGACCCACTGCTCACCTCGCTCTCCAGTACAAACAGATATATGTTATCTCTAAATATAATCTTTAATTGTGTATTTAGGGACATTTTGTCTTGTGCTGTTCTAAAATAAGCCTCGGGTGTGTGTGTGTGTGTGTTAGTTTGAGCTGAGAATAACACACAGATAGTGTTCTCCAGCTCTCTGAAACTCACCCTTTCAGGCTTTGATTCTACTTGTGGTGTTTTGGTGACTGTCGCTTTAAATGCAAATGAGATTGTGCTCTTTTTGAAAGAGGGTGGAGCTACAAATGCTAATGCATCAGCATGGTGGCAGATGTAAAACAGCAGTGCTGGTCAGGTGTGCTTCCGTGTGAGTCTGTCAGTCTATGTCGCTCCTGTCGCTGTTCATCACATCTATAATCCTCTTAGTCTATGCTGACATCATCTTCAGCAGCTCAAACACTCTAATGGCTAATGCACAGACGGCTGCTTCTCACTCAGGGCTGCTGTTTATGCTAATGAGATGGAGAGATGGGCACTAGTGGGCGGGGCTTTCCCCCTCTGATGACACGTACAAAGGGAAAATGTCAATCAAAGTGTTTCATTCATCAAGTCTGATTAGAACAAACACAATTCACTCATGTTGAGCATTAGAGGCTGGAGATATCCACACACTGCTGACACACAACTGGGTTTAAACCCTACATGAAGGTCATTTCTGCATAATAGGTTCCCTTTTAAGACATTTTTAACCGTCTCTACCTCCTAAATCCTACATGCATCTATATATTTCAATCTCAGGTAAATATATCTTGATTTAAAAGAGTTCAGATATTTTAATAAAGCTTCATAATCTGTTCATTTTACTTACATGATTTGAAATGATTCAAATACATCTAAAGCATGTTTACATACACATCTGAAACAATATTTCATCATTTATATGATGCTGATACGCTTTAATAAATCTGAGTGGTATCTCCTCTGTGTTAATAAACTAATGTCCACATGAAATCAAAACTAACCATATTGGTGTTGTTAGCTCACACTGCTAGTTTAGTGCTGAACAATTCATCTGTGCTTGTCATTAATAAAATAGTTTCCTCTTGTAATCTTTAAATCTGCAAATGTGCTTTTTTTTCAGGTAAATTCTCAGCTTAGGTCTGTCTGAGGTATGGGGTGGGGCTA